CCGTCGATAACGCAGCCAGACCAGCCAGGCGTCCGGAGCCACAGGAGCCGCTTTGACGCAGTCGATGCTAGCTGTACTTGCAGACAACAGCGCCGTAGGCGATCATTGATCCAGCCCGGCCGGTCCACCCGGAGTCACCGGAGCCACCGGAGCCGTCCGGAGCCACGGGAGCCGACACGACGCAGCCAGGGGCCGACTGAGTCGGGCAGGCGGTACTGCAGACAACAGCGTCGAAGTCGATGATCGAGCCAGTCTCGCCGGCCTGTCCGGAGCCACCGGAGCCGTCATGGACAGGCCGTCCGGAGCCACAGGGGCCGACACGACGCAGCCGGGGCCGACAGAGTCAGGCAGGCGGTACTGTAGACAGCAGCGTCGAAGGCGATGATCGAGCCAGCCTCGCCGGTCCACCCGGAGCCACCGGAGCCTCATCGACAGGCCGTCCGGAGCCACAGGGGCCGACACGACGCAGCCGGGGCCGACTGAGTCGGGCAGGCGGTACTGTAGACAGCAGCGTCGAAGCCGATGATCGAGTCAGCCTCGCCGGTCCACCCGGAGCCACCGGAGCCTCATCGACAGGCCGTCTGAGTCGACACGCCACGGCGCGGCAGGGCCGACGGAGCCGGGCAGGCGGCCCTCACGCGGACAGCAGGAGCAAAGCCGATGACCGCGCCGGCCCAGCGGGGCGCCGCGGGTCATCGGAGCCAGCACAACGCATCGCCAGCCGATTGGCAAGGATCACGCAAGCAAGGTCAGAGTCACAACATTTCACCAGCACACCGCTCAGTGGCTCCAGCGGCCGATCCAGCGATCGCACTCTACCGGCCAGGGGCAGGCCCGCGCCTGTCGCCAGGGCGGCGGCCGCCCCCGCCATTTTCCCGTCGCCCTCCATCTTCTACCACAGAGAAGCCAAGTTCACGTACTCTGTCGATCGTCTCGACTCGCACGCCCGCTGCGAACTTCTCCGGCTTGAAGTATACATGACCTCCACGTGTGTAAACCGTATGCAGCTTCTTTTCCTTTTTCGCTCCGAGCAGGCTGCGGTATATTTTGCTGCGCAGCGGAGTGAGACTTTCATTCACATAGAGATCTTTGCCGTGAAGTTCGAGACGACGCCACATCACTTGGTCTCTTATGCTACCCAGACCAGATCTGACAAACCTCACGATGACACGATTGTTGGGGCCTGGCAGCCTGTGGGCCCGATCCACATCCGATTCGCGCATGTTCAGACCTCCCAGACATCGATTCAGTGTCGCCACCACCAGTGCCGGTACGTCCTCGGGCTCATCGGTCGCCGTACCGACACGCCGTCCGCCTCTCTCTCCTCTCGCCATCCCCGCCGCACTCGCTCTTCCCGCCTCCTCGGGCCGTGCCCCCGGGCCATCGGCGGATCGGTCGGTCAGGGCGGCGTCAGCAGGGCCGCGCGCCAACCGTTGGGCCGCCTGATGGGGCGCCATGGCTGCACCAGATAATATCAGACATGGGAGTCGCGATATAATCTCAGATTCCTCAATCCTTGCCTGCACTCCACGCAGTTCTTCTTTCGTTTCAGTTAGCTGCTGTGTTAAATCTTCGATTATTCCGTCCTTTTCCTCTATATGACGTTCGAGATCTCCCACTCTGTCACTGAGTGTGTCTAACTGTGTCTGTACGATATCTCGCAAGGTGTTCAGCTCGGTCGACAGAAAGACACGCATGCGACTCTCGAGGTCTTCCATCGCGGCGTCATATTGTTCTTTGAGCGATTTTTTGTTTGACGGAGAGGGCTCACCTTTGCGATCTCGTTTTCCTGCCGGTGCCACAGAGTCTCCTGATTCGGATCGGTCACGCTTTCCGGCAGCATCGTCAAAACCGCGCACCAGCTCGCTCACTGTGTTCCTAAAATCTATTGCGTATCGAGTTTTGTTGATAAGGGTATACATATCAACGTTTCTTTTGTTTCTACTTGAAGTTTAAATGCTTAAATTATTTAAACATTGCAGCAAAACCAACCAAACGAACAGATAAAACGACAATTACAATACAGTTAGAACAGCTGTATTTTATGTATAATTTATTAATTGAAATATATCCTTCGAAATTACGTTCTCGGTTCGAGCCTCGACAGCTTGAGGCGTATTTAGAAACACATTGCACCATGTATAACCACACGCACCTATAGTTATTCCTTCACCAATTGCATATAATTAGTCCTGCTACGAATTACCGGCGAATGACAATGGTCTGAATGTATCACATAACTTTCCATCGATTTACCAAATTAGGGGAATACCGGTCTCACTTGTATATTTACTTGGCATTCCAGAGTGAGGTTCTTTTTGTGACCAGAGTACTTATAATATCATCATTATCCCTGTGGCAATACCTACGTAGTACGTAAGCTTAGCAATTTAATGACCGGTAAGCACCGTCATTATGTATTTCTAGATACCAGTATAACGCCTTTTGGGGCGACTAACGGAGCGAGCGAGAGGGTGGGCCTTGCACGTGCGAAATTGCGAGGGGGTACCTCCAACTGACTTGTGCACGGCACCCTACTAACTGGTCTCTAGCGATGTGCCAAATTTGGGCACAATCGGCCCAGCCGTTCTCGAGATCTGGAAGCGGCACCCTGCACGTGCGCACGTGCAAAATGGGTCCCAACTGACTTGTGCACGGCACCCTACTAACCGGTCCCTAACCGTGTACCAAATTTGAGCGCAATCGGTCCAGCCGTTCTCGAGATCTGGAAACGACCCCTGCACGTGCGCACGTGCAGCAGCACCCCAACTCTGGCACATGGATATGCAGTGCCTAGTGGGTGCCTACCTACATGCCAACTTTCAGCGCAATCGGCCAAGTAGTTACCGAGATATTGCAACAATTACAAAAGTGACACCTCTTCGTTTTGCACGTGGCACGTGCATAAGGGGTCACCCACATGCATCGGGAATAGTCCAATACTTGGTAGAAGGAATGAAGCCACCCTACAAAAATTACCGCGTGTAAATCGGTCAAGTGGTTGCTGAGATATAAGCCTCGCAAAAGCGTCACGCCGGCCGTGGCCGTGGCCGGCCGGCCGGCCGGCCGGCCGCTCATACTCAGAAATTTCCGTTAATCTAAGGAAAGACTACGCTCGCTTCGCTCGCTCCGTAACCAAATGCCGATATTTCATAATTGTCATCCACCGCTGACCGATCTTCTCCACCATTTCAGTTATCACCGTGCTACTGTCTGACAATGTTGTTCTGCGCCACAACGTCTGAAGGAACCGATCAGCCACAGAGGGCAACGCAAGCTGGAGCAAAACTATCGATGAACCCGGCCATGGGTGTTGATGGTATTAATCTCACCAATCATCCTGTAGCCATCTTTTTGTGTGACGCTGACTCACATTGCATCAAGAGCAATACCAAGCAGCTTTGTCCACCGACTGTTTCGATCGCTGTTATGGAGGGAAGGACTATGCAGCTGCCAGGCATGAATAGGGACTTACTCGTGGCTCTGAGGAACTTCCAGTCGACTTTTTTGAGTGGCGCGCATGTGATCACGGGTGGAGAAGTGATTAACCAGCTGTTTAATTCGGTATTTTTGGCCTGGGCTCCCTTCTTTGAAGTGAGAGCGAGTGCATTTTTGGCGCACCGAATTTAGAACGTTTGCTGCAATACAACGGCACTTGAATGTTTCGTCTCTCACTTGCTTGCGCCATAATACAGGCCTTATTTGAGCGTGATGATTCGGCACTTTGTATTCCTAATGGTCAACAAATATTCCGTGAGGCTCATACACATAAAAATGTTCCCGTTCAGTGCTGGGTCTCTGTTGCGACTTGCGACACTGTCGCCATCTTCATACAGCTCACCAGTGGAAGTAGCTTCTCGAGTCCACCGCCAGGGGACCAGGCTTCTCAAGCTCCGTATTGCTGGCAAACGTTGCCTAAAATTGCGAGTTTGAGAGGCGAGAGAACGGTGGGGTCCAGCTAATTGAACTGTAGTTTATATCTTTGACGGGCGAGGATATTCAAGCAATGCGAGAAGTGTAGTGAAAGCTACTTGTTTACCCTTGTGTTCGTGTTATTGCTTACGCCCACTTGCCAACACATTTTGACGATTACCGGTTGCAATGAGAACATCGCTTGACACAGATGGTAACGAATGTCCTGTGCTTAGTAAACATAGAGCTTTGACAAAAAAGTATGCACTCATTACACCTTATACGAATGCGGTTAGGCCGTAGGCGTCACATGTCTCAGGCCTAAGCAGATTTTCTTACGAATCGAATCCATATCAGGGTACCGCAGAGTTTTTATTATTTGCTATTATAATTCACATTTTCAAATATAAAGAAACCTTTACAATGACAACCACCACAACAATGCTCACGATCGAATGCCACTTTTCAGCGACTCAGCTGTCTGGTGCTACTGCCTCTCGGTAAACGGCATTGGGAAGCCCCTGGTAACGTCCTCGTGAGCACAACCCACGACCACACCTTCAAGGCTTTGACGAGTATCATTCATGTCACGTCCTACACTAAAAGAAGTTCTTAACTAAGCTAATTCTGTCCTCAATAGAGTGTCAGTTCATCGGAACCAGAGACGTGAGTGTGGTAGGTACCCGCTACAACCATTATCCTTAATGACCAAAGTTGACCAAAGTACGGAGCTGTCTCAGCCGTGACATCCGTATATTATCTGTTCGTACCTGATCACACACAGTGTGGGCCGCACTCACCGGGGGCGGCGGCTCATCGCACGCACCATTTGTGCCACTCAGTGCCGGACCGGTGAGCCGAAATGAGCGCCGATCGATGACGGAGTCTGCGCTCCGTCGCCTCAGTACCGGCTCAACGACGGCCCGGGGAACGACGACGCAGTATACGCGCGCGTACCTGAGCTTGTTAAAGTCTACTTAGGATCGAGTGCGCACTGAGGATTACGGCCCACGCAGGGGCGGAGCTGGTACCCAATGCAGCTTCTTGTAACTGTGATATGGCTTTTCTGAACCGACAAACAGCTCAGATTGCTACATTCCATATATTATCAAGAAGCATGCGATTGATGCTGTTCAAAATATCAATGAGACACATTACAGAAGAGCTCACCAGCGGGCTCGGCCGCCGACGCGCGATTGGTGAGCGACAATTCTGCACACTCAGCACACTCAGCAGAACGACATGACCACGAGTAGACGGTATACAACATGGGGTGAGATCCACCCACGGGGAGGGACCCTCCCGCCCGCAGCACACTAATCGCCCGGCCTGCCTGCTGTCACGACCACACGCTCACATAACCGCACATACGTCCATGTTCCACAGATATGCGTCAGAGATATGACGAATGGGTTATATAAATGACCTCTGAAAGGGATATGCAGACTGGCGATGCTGACAGTCTGAAATGTTTAGCACTTGGACGATTAAACCCAAAGTAGGCGTAGCTTTCAAGCCGGCTTATATGGTTTCATTGCGAGGTTTGCCATCTATAAATGCGCGGATATGCCAAGTATACCACAAACATTTCAGTAGATATGTCCCGCGCGAGCAGTTCTTTGTGTGCCCATACCCCTACATGCTTTCGTTCAGACAAATCACATTCAAACAGCATGTAAAAAAGTATGATATGAATGAGTGTCCGAGCAACTGTGCGCGACAAATGAACGATGAACACCTCTCGAGATCGGAACACATCTTGCACCACAGTTAGCGAGAGTCGCAGCTGGCGAGCCGTTCGGCATTTCCTAATCCTGACATTTGTCATCGCTTTAACCGGGGGGCGGGCCGGATGCAGAGCCCACCTGGGACTGTCCGGCGGCCCACGTCGCCGCGCCGCTCCTGAGTTCCAGGAGCTGGTAGCACCTGCACGACACACACAGCCGGAGCCGGAGCATGGCGAGTCGCATTGCCAGAGTGCGAAGTCGGGAAATTTGGACCTCACGTCACCACACCAGCCATGGACGAGCGCGTGACGGCGCGGTCTGCTTAGGATGATTTAGGGCGCTGTGTGATGATTGACTGCCGCCGTCGGGTCACGCCGTGACACTGCCGTCACGGTGGTGACTGTGACGGTCGACGGAAGTCTGAACGTCACCCAGCGGCCTGTTGGGGCCAGCGGCACGCCAGGACACCCACGCGACTGCGGCGAATCCGTGGAAACCGTGCTCCACCCTTTCACGCCACACCGAACCCAGCTCCGGCTCCGCAGTCGTTCCAACCTACCACAAGACGGCGAGCCACGCCAATATTTACGAAACGGCCTTGGCAAGCCGCCTGTGTGTCTCTGACAGGCCAGCAAATACGATAGACTCCAGCTGAGACCTGCAGAAGGCGCAGTTCGGGAAACGCACCGACACAAGCCGACGGCTGCGGCGCACGCGGCGCACACTCGCGGAAGATTGCGTATAGACAAACGGCCGAGCGCGGCTCCCGGACGCGGCGTCGGCCCAAAAATACTTTCTCTGCTGTCCGACGGCGCGGTGTGCGGGTGCACCATTAACAAGTGCGACCTTCCGGCGGCGGCGAATTCCGCGCGCGGACGGAGAGCCTGCCTGGGTCAGACTCGCGGCTCGGGCGCTGCCACCGGAGCCTGAACTCAGCCCAGAGAACCATCACATACTGCTGCGGGCACGCGTTCGTTACAGGAATAAATACACGGTAACGTTTTGAAGTTGACATGAAAAATAATACTTCGCACGGAGATCGTTTTTAAGTTTTAACGAGTCACGTTGGTAGTTAAAACATCAAAGTGAAAACACCAATTTGCGACATCGACCATGTACGCACTGCGACTTTGCAACCTTCCACTCGCACCTTACGTTTGTTCCTGGCCCTGGACAAGAGCTGATTATCCTTCGCTGTTCCAGAGGCCAGCGAAGGTTTGGTGTTCGCCCATCCCAACCAGCATCCACTGGTCAGTTTCTTCCCAACGTCCGGGGCGGCCCACGTAGCTCGCTGGGTGTCTTCTCTTCTGCCGCTACCGTGCTCTTCGAGATTCCGCCACCGGCGCAGCCACCTTTCGTCCCGTCGCTTTGCCGCGGCGACAGCGCCCTCGTCCGCCGTTCGCGACACAATGCACTACTACACTACACTTTCCCGATCGGAGCCGAAAGGGTCCGTCACTGTAGTGGCTGCTGGTAGTGGCATGCCGGGGTGGATTGGCCGGCCCAGACTACCGCTCTGAAAAACGGAAATGGTGGGGTCAGGTGGCGCAGAACAGCGGCTGGTGGGCTGTTGGGAGCTGGTGCAGGTCGCAAAGGGAAGAAGAAAGCGTATTCGACAATATAATCAATAAATACTTTATAACGAAAGCAAATCCTGGCCGACTCGCTAGCTTTCGACCCAGCCGAGCGCCCGCTTTGGCCAGAGCCCTCACGTTATGCGGTACAGCATCACTTCAGGCGCACGCTACTAGCGCCATCTATGGAGAGTAGGAGGAAGTCGGCGCGGAATCCCGTGCCATGCGGCACAGCATCACTTCAGGCGCTCACTACAAGCGCCATCTATGGAGAATAGGAGGAAGTCGGCACCCGAATCCCACGCCATGCGGCACAGCATCCCTTCAGGCGCTCACTACTAGCGCCATCTATGGAGAGTAGGAGGAAGTCGGTGCGGAATCCCACGCCATGCGGCACAGCATCACTTCAGGCGCTCACTACTAGCGCCATCTATGGAGAGTAGGAGGAAGTCGGCGCGGAATCCCACGCCATGCGGCACAGCATCCCTTCAGGCGCTCACTACTAGCGCCATCTAGGAAAGATATGCAGAAATCGGCGCTCGAATCCGCCGCTTTCATACTTTCGATCCCAAGCGTCACTGATTTGTCTAGGATCTGATGCATACATCAGTGAAAGTGATCCTATACGCGTTTGTGTATGTATGTTTTTGTTATTTATTAGTTCTTTATATTATAGGCATAACGTCGGTGCATAACGTCGGTCTGGTGCCATGCACAACAGCACAGCACCGCAAACACAAACCCGACTTGCAGCGTTAATGAGGTCGCGGAGGAGGCCTCTATAAGCCGAGTTGTCATGAAATGAAGAGCGAGTTCTCAGGATCCGCGGGGTGAGCCCTCAGGTCACGAGATCCCGATCCTGTGACCCCGCGGCGATCCTACGTCCTCGGAGTGACGTGCACGTGATGGATGAAAGTGTCGAGCGCACGCGCGTGACGGTACGGTGTCAACCGAGCTGTTTAATCACCTGCTCAAATACCGACCCTCGGCGGCTAAGAGGTTTAGCGAGATATCAGGCGTTTTGCCTAGTGTAGTGCGTGATATCACTGTCTAACGTGTGCCATGGTAAATGCCAAGTCACTACGCTTGACTGCTCCGAAACCACCTGTTTTCAAGATAATCAATACATTTTATAATAATGGAGTTCATATTGGTTAACTCGACTACTGGTTGCATTAAATTACGATATAAATGAAAATTTAAACGTTAAAAAGGTGAAATGTTTTTATGACAGTCAAAATGAAGTGGCCGGGTGACAAGTTGTCATGGCAACTCGAAATCGACATGAGCAGAAGTGGTGTGGGGAAAATAAGCACATACAATTAGAATATAAAAATAATACGGAAGGAAAAAAAGATCGTGTCAAGCAAATCGCTTTCCGGCTTGGATTATATTACTCGGAAAGTATGTACATGGCAAATCCTTTATTTTCCGGAGCTAGAGGTTCACACTTCACAGAAACGGTGACAATCATATACCTACTTACCGGAAAACACCGATATCTGCGTTAGGCCAGCTGATTATAGCTTTACCAGGCCCTGTGATCGCGGTATCAGTTAACGCTCACCTGAAACGTTGCAAAGTTGACGTGGTTGAGCGGGTGCGGGCTGTAAAGCTCGGTGTGGCAGTTGTCCCTGACGACTGTCAGCCGGGGCTCTTCCATCGGGTCTCCCCTCGAGCAGCCGTCTGCAACGAAACAAAGAACAAACGCTTAGTTAATGGACATAACAGTGCATAGGAAACTTTCCTAACAAGTTTCTGACACACGACTTCAGAGTGATTGGTTATTTGTGTGCCTGCTGTTGACCAAATAAATATCTTAAATACGATGTGTTTGTTCGTAAAGTTTCACAACTTCAAGTCATTGCACGTAGTTGCTACTTGCTACAACTTTTTATTAGCCGAGGCGCTTGAAATGGTTGACTCACCCGCATATTTCTTGTACTTACATAACAATGTGTCTAAAATATTATTTATATTTCATAGTTTATATCAACCCCGACAACGGTCGTTTCTTTTGCAAACACGAAAAGCGGGTACTTGCAAATGCTTTTGCATTTGTGAATATCACAACAACCAATTCTCGTAGTCGTGAGGGCCGCCCTGTTTTATGAGCTAAAACAGGCCACATCCGACAGAGCGTCCACCTCAGCGCCGCCGAGTCGCGAGCTCTGTTTCAGGGTCGGCCGCGGTCGTAACGGCCTGTTCGGACGCCGTTCAGGCCCATCAGCACGATATACAGAGTCTCATTGGACGCCGCGGGCCATGATATTGGGCGGCGCCGGCCGTGCTCCTCCCCGCTGTGCTGCAGGCTGCCCCGCTGCCGGAACTGCGGAGCGGGTCCCCGGGGGGCCGGCGGCAGTACGCACCGGAGACGTCCCTCTGGAGCAGGCAGCTGTACGAGCTCATCGCCCAACAGTAATGAAAATGGAACGAGCTGTGCCGACTTCAGTTTCGCAGAATCAGCTATGCAAGAAGAATGGCCTAGTTGAAGTTGGCTCTGTACCCACCAGGACAGCTCAGCGGAATGAATTTTCAAATGAAACTTACGCAAGATGAAAGATGTTCATTTCTCAGTTAAAATACAATTTGTAGTAGAGCACTTCATGGGCCGGATAAATCCGTTATCCACGGATAAATCCGCGGACCGGATAGGATTGGATTCTAAATTTGTTAAAAAAGAACGGATATGGGCGGGCCGGATTTGGGAATTGAAGGTTGAACCCGGATCAAAACGGATCAAAATTTTAACATTCAACATTGAAGTTAAAAATTAACCTAATGTGCTAAGCGGCAGCGGAGGTTTGATTAAAATAATAGGCATCATTTTATGACACCCACTTGTCACAAGACTTGTATGGCTGTCTGGTCCCTTAGATTGAATTTGTTAGTCCAGTTTTGGGTGAAACCAGTTATTGGTGAAACGGATTTTTTGGAAGTTTGGCTGCAATACGGGCCATGGGTGGGCCGGATTCTGATATTCAAAGAAAGGCGGATAATGGGCGGATCTGGATATGACTTGCCGGATATGGGCCGGGCCGGATCCTAAAAAGCCTATCCGTGAAGTGCTCTAATTTGTAGGTAAGTATATTCACGAGAATACTTTTGGGCCAGTGTAAAACACTCTTCGTTCATCCAAAAACGAAAGCGTATACAAGATTCCTAAAATGCAGAGCGTCTTATTTCATTTTGCATTGTCTTTGAATTGAATAAACCAGCCTGAGCAGCAGCAAGAAGATAGAATATCCTAGACTGTCTACCCAGTCGGCTGATGTAAGCGGATCTGAGTTTTGTGTGCGTGCTGTCTCCACCAGGTTATGTCTCGGCTTGTTCCGCCTCTCTCCCGTGGGGACTCCACTGCCCTTATGTCGTGCCTCGTCAGCGCAAAAATGGAAAATGTCAATGGTGGGCCGGAAATTGTGACAGCCAACGAGGCAGATTCCGTAAACAAATTTGCGTGAATAATGCTTCTAGAAAAGGGATGGTAATTGTTTTTTGCATGCTTTTCTACAGAGTCGGTCCCAGGAGTCGAAAAAGGTTTCCAGGAAACACAGACACAAACTGCGAAGCATCTCTGTTCAGCCTCGAGACCGCCCTGCAAATGATGAATAAAATATTACCCAACTCTCAGAAGGAAGATGCAAAGGAAGATGGAAAAGGTTCATCTATCATGCTTAACCTGGCCTGTGTGGACAAGTAGCCCATTTCGCACGAAAATTATGGCAAACAAACGAAAGGAAAGCTCTGGCAGATTAACGAAGAGCGTCCAAAATCGTAATCAAGCTTTTAACTTATCTATGCAAAAGCTTCACAGAATTATGTGTGCCTAGTCCAAAAACTGTTACTGCGTGTCCTGCCTGTTGCCTAAGCACAAGACGCCTAAGCACAAGCCTATCATATCAAGACGGCAAGACGGCCTATCAGAGTCTGTCATTGCGGGTCTGTGTCCTTCCAAGATGAACGAAGCAAGCCTGCCAATATATATGTGGACACGAGGTCTTGTCAAGTCTGACGGAGCTGTCTGCCTTGTCACGTACTTTTAGAAAGAGCGACTTAAGCATATGCTTTCTTCAAATGCCAGATTTTACGGCTGGTCAGAATCCAGAAACTCACCCAACAGAACACCCTTCAAACGTATATCACCGAATGATATCCTGTACCTGAACCTTTTGGCTTTCACATATGCTTGCCCATAGACTACTACATATCTGGACTGGACACGAAATTTCGCCGATTACCATAAGGGTACTGCAGGCGGTGGAGGACGGATGTTTATTGCATTTATCACGTGCTGCAATGATGAGTATTTTACTTATAGAATCTCAAACATTCCAAATTTCAACATATTGTTTTCGTTGAGCTTTGTCGGAATTGTAGTTTATACCAGGGTATATTGAATTAGGGGGTAGGACCAAGTTTAGTAGGCATGATCTCAGCAATTATCTTGTTTTATATGGCGGTTTTCATTATCACAATATTATTTTTAAAATCATGAAGTTTGTATATCTCGGTTTTACGAAAAATAGTAGGGCAACAAAGATAAATTTCGCGAAAAAATAATTTTAGTTGGAAACATCCATTCTGGTATGTAAAATTCAGTATGAAGCCCAGTATGGTGACCGTCTAGTGTGCTTCCAAAGCTGAGTACCTGATATCAACAGGAGTTGTTTACTATTTTGCCTTACGTTGCTAGGTGGTTGCTAGGGAGCTAAGGATACTCTCTTGCGTGATCATTTGCACTTATTTTTCCTCATTATATCGACATGTTGCTGTTTCTGAGACCTAACTCAAGTGCTAAGAAAAAAAGCAGTTTTCTTAAAATGTGTATTTAAGTGCCGTAGTATTAACACAGCTCTGCAATTCTGCTTAAAGGTAGTGTGCCACCTTTGAAAGATTTCCCATTTTATTTTTCCTAGGATAAGAAGCTTCTGTTTTTACCTAATATCGCAAAAAAAATCAAAAATGGGCCTGGAATAGTGCCTTTTTCGCCTAAAAGTTTTTCGGTTTTTAGATATGTATAACAACTGTAGTGGGCTCACCTGCAAACAGGCGTCGGGCAACAATCGCGAATGCGGCGCACTTGTGACAATAAGCAAAGGTCATTATAGTGTTACGACCATACGACGTACGGGAATGAGTTATCAGCTGTCTAATCGTAGACAACACAATGTCGAGCCTTAAACTGTAAGCCCGTATTGGTATTGTTTCTTTTATTTGGCTGTCGAACATTATTTATGGTTTGAAATATGATTTATGTAAAATAATTGATATGAAAAAGCCGTCTTATAAGTTATGACCCCATTTCACCACACGCAAGTGGCAGAAATGACAATGATCAGCTGACGCATTTTTATTGGCCGAAGTCAGAGCGCGCGGCCCGACGCACCACGCGTATTTGGAAATTCCGACCTCGACGAGCATCAGAAGCCACCTAACAGGCGTGTTCGAAACCGCAGGAGATGATGATGAACGGGTTTATCGAAACTTGATTGGATGAGCATATCGGTAATAGCGATTTCAGTGTGTGCATTTATTGTTCATAGTGGTGTGAAATGTGGTTGGGGTACGACCGACAACCCGTCGGGGCGAATTTCGCACTGGGGTACTCAAAATTTGAAGAATTTAAGACGTTTCCATGAGTTTTGAAGGTATGGATAAGTTCTAAAAATCCGGTTCTCCTTATCTGGGCCATTAACTCCATACGGTCCAAGAAAGCTGGCACACTACCTTTAAATATCTGCAAAATCCTGACTTCCCGGAAAATTGGTGGTGGTGATGGGGATCGAGCCCGTCGATGAAAAGTAAGTCAATATTCAAAGGCTTCAAAGCGTTATTTCTTGTTGTTCTGTGAAATAGCAATGTAAAGACCGATTATAGTGCCAGTGTTGAGCTTTCCAATGAAGCATTGCAATTAGTAGTAAGATTATTATCACCTAAGATATCTTCCATCAAATATTAGAATTCTACCATTGTCTTGCTGTAGAACAGGGTTACTTTCAGTCTCTTGGGAACACGATTTGCCGGTCTCAAATCGAAAAACACTTCAAAAAGCGGTAATAGACAATAAAATTTACCACCTGATAGCATCTCGGGTTTTTATATATCCTGTCTAGAATTTTCATAAATCAAACGTAAAAATGGCCAATTTCGTCAGATTCCGAATTTTTGCCATTGGGTCTAATGTAAAGCATGGCTACTTTCAGTCTCTTGGGAACACGATTTCTGTACCTCAGAATGAAAAACACTTCAAAAGTCGCAGATCGTAGACGATTTAATCTACAAGATAGCATCTCGCTTTTTTCTGTATCTGGTCATGTATCTTCATAAAACCTTCTCAAATATAGTCAATTTAGCATTGAAGTCTATGGATTTAGAATAATTTTCATATCCGACTACATAGATTTGGGCTACCATGTCTGTTGACCGGGGGCCGGTTTGTACATCTTAATACCAAGCTGGTTTAATGTGGATCATTGTAATATTATTTTTTTTTTCGCACTTTCGCACCGCATCGCACTGCGAGCTGCATGTGACGACAGCAAGAAGTCACTTGGCTTCATCGCGAGCTTTGGTGACTACATGCGTGCCGTTCTCGACAGCGGTGCTCCGATGACAAAGGACACTTGTATGGCGGTGTTTTATACCTCAAGGGGTCTTGTCGCCCTGGCACGGTACCTTCTGTCAACATAACCAGATCGGCTAGAGTACGTTCTCACGGGGAAAATTCAGTCGGATCAGATTGAAGGTCGTTTTGGGCACCTGAGGAAGCTCGCCGGTGGGAACTATTGGGCAAGCGTGCGCCAGTTCTGGGAAAATGAAGCCATCATCCGCACAACAGGGCTGGTTTGGTGGTCGGGCTTCAGCGTGGCCGAAATCGCTTCAAGAATGGACATTCCAAGACAGGAGAAAGGGGAGGAAGACAGCGAGACGGTACGCCATCTGTCAACACTGATCACAGCAAGCGACATCGAAGACGACCTCGATGACACAACCGAGGCTGCGCTCGGCTACATAGCCGGCTACCTCGCGCGCGCAGTCACCAAAGACAACAAGTGCGATTCCTGCGCAGATCTGCTGATCGACAGACGCTCTCCACCACTGGAGGTTCGCTTGGCGGACAACCTGGATCAGACGTCGTTGCTCAGCAATACTTTCATCGGCCTGTTAGATCGAGGGAAGCTGATACGACCCACTTCCACTGCAATCGACATCGCTTCCAGAATCTGCTGTGTTTGGAGGACTCTCGTCAAAGAGCAGAGCAGCAGGCAGCGTCTGTTCGGCAGCAACCTGCCGCGAGCAGTCTTCGTGAATGTGGTGAGTGAAGTCATCACATCGGCCGAGAACGTGACTGTCTCAGACATCAGCTGTGAAGGAGGCCACTGTCTTGCAACTGTAGTATCGCGTATGGCAGGCTCCCTATTCAATTTGTTCGCCAGCAACATGGTCAGGGACGCCAACAGCCGTCTACACGGAAAATGGAAGCGTTCCACAGACCCCGGCGCCAGTACCAGTAAGGAGAGATGCTCTAGGGAAGACCAGAAGCGCCGCAAGTTAAGTGGGAGTAAGAAGACTTAGGACCAGCTCGGCTCCACTGCATCTGCAGGCGCTGACTGACAGCGCTATCTAGTGGCCGATATTTAAGTTACCTTTGTGCACCGGCACAGTATGCCTTCAGGCGCTGACTCACAGTGCCATCTAGTGGCCAGTATGTACGTTACATTTTTGCGCCGGCACAGTATGGCTCAGCGCGACCCGGGTCAAACGTATATACGCCCGCCGCCAGTTCTCCGTGTTTTGTCCTGTTAGTTTCTGGAGCTGGAAGAGTGACATCGCAGGAGCGTCACAGTTCCAATAGTGTATCATTGTGATCTATTTATGTGATAATTGTGGCTTGCATTCATTGTATTACGATTCATTGTGATGTGCGAATTATCATAAACAAGCAACCACTATCTGCGAGTTTCCTTGTCAACGAAGATGGCAGAAGCGACAAAATGATGACTAATAGCAGACCATCACGTAGCACGCGCAGCACTCTCTCCACTGACCTCTAAGCTGCCAAATGAGCATCAGTAAGCAGGGCGAAGTTCAAGCGGTTATAACCATGGGATGGGATCAAATATGCGACCTGTTCATTATAACATATCCATTATGAAAGGCAATCAAATTTAACACATAAAACTCCATTGGTACCCTTATGGTAATCGGCGAAATTTCGTGTCCAGTCCAGATATGTAGTAGTCTATGGCTTGCCCAAACGGCAGCAGCGATATCTGGCCAGTGAGTCAGTACACGTATTGACCGTTTCGCTGGTAGTATCATCAGTTGGGCGGCGCTTCCGCGATGGCCGGGGCATAACTCAGAACTCATCCGGGAGTTGGCCGGCGAGCCGACAGCTCGTCTGTCATGGTCGAGCCGACCACCGACTGAAACGTGCAGATTGGTGCTGCTTGGGGCGGGGGAGCGGGGGGGGGAGGGGACACGAGTTCTGGTCTGGTGGGGAGGGGGGCATCGCCGAGTGTTAAATTACCTGGGAGACGGCGCTCACCTGACAGAGACGACTTAATCTGAGAGAAACGACGCTCACACGAAAGCGCAGTCTCTGTCATGTTGCAGAAATGGTGTCTATCACATGCGAACATTTTGCCTAGCAGAAACGGAATTCACAGCTCACCTAGGAAAGACGGTGCTCACAGGAAAGGGGCAAAGCTTGCCTTACAGCATTACAGCATCCTGCCTCACTTAGGAAAGACGGCACTATGCTGAAAGACTAGATCTTTCACCTCTCACCTCTAAAGACATCCACCCACCTGATAGTGACGGCACCACGTCTGGATTGTTTTCGTCGCACTCTGACAGACCGGCGGCCGACTTGGCCGGCGACTTGGCCGGTCTGCTGGAGCGGCGCCGGACCATCGCGATGACGGCCAGCACACAGGCCAGCACGGCCAGCGACGCGCCGGCGATGACGCCCACCAGAGGCGTCCAGTCGACCCCGGGACGGCGCTCCGCCATCGAGCCTGTGACGAGTGAGAGAGAATATGGTGAGAAAGGGGCGAGAGAGCATGACTGCGGTACTTGTGACGACAGGATGTGGCACAGGGCACTTGTGACGATATGAATAAGATGCCAGTGGTGTGAGGGCTGGGAAAGTGGGATCAACAGAGGGCAGACTGAAGTAATGTACGAATATATGGAAGTTCAGTTTGTGTTTTGTTGAGAGAGGACCTGTAACGCATGGTAAATTTATGCGACGTGGACCAATGAGCGGATGGTGTTAACATTTCATAGCTACATCTTATTTTGTCACGATACAGAGCGAAAGTCAGAGGGTTGCAGTATCCTCACTGTCAGTTTGCCATGCTATTACCCTTACATAACTTTGCGCTATATATAGTCTTCCACTCCTTTGCACAACTTATCGAATATACATTCAGCGAATGTCGTTTCGTAAGTATTGCTTCGTGTTTGTCTTCAGCAGTTTCTCATTACCTATAATTGCTCACATATTTAACCCCTTTCATCACGGCATTCTAGGAAAACAAACCCCGCAGTTATTTTCAAAATGCTCGTGCTGGCACTTGGCAGTAACTGCTAGGAAACATGCCACACTGCAATAGAATTGGTTCAACAACGTTAGAATAGAAAGGTTGATTGTTTTTGGGAGCTGAGGAATAAATCACTAATGTTTTCTGGTATAGCTGCTCGGTAGAGACTAAACCGGAAAGAGAACCAAATAGGGAGCTGACGTCATTCGTATTTGCGAGAAAACATTCATTTAGGTCCTGGATACCTAAATGTGCGGTGTATTTAGCCTGTGTGCACATTTAGTCATGGGCAACCTGGCGGTGGTGGATATCACTTTAAACACATCACACTAACGACTCTTTCTAAAAGCCGAGGCACAAGCCACGAACTAACAGTGCGCCATACTATTATTCGGCGTTATATCACTCACAGTCTGCCATTAGCCGACAGCCGGCCAGCCGTAATCACCCCAATCAACATGCCAGTAAATCAAAGCCGCGTCGAGCCCACATCAATTTTCTGTAGTGGTAAGCAGACACTCTGATATGAGAGCTAAATCGGCAGCATGAGTGAGCGTTGATCGTTTGCTTTCCGTCCAAGGCTCTTGTCTGCAGGGGCGTTCCACGACAAATCGACAAGTGCCCTGCACCCTCATATTTTATTTTTCGCTTAAAATTGGTCTAATGGGTTGTGATGGGCGGGGAAGCCAGCTGTGACAAGGATTTTTTTCTTCGAACAACGGTTTCCGAGATATAGCCTCGGGCAATTCCTGGAGGTCGCGCTGCAGCCCTATGTTTGGCGGCCTATAACTAAAAAAACTATTGGTTTTCTACGATAAAAACTTTATATGGTTCAACTCACAATCAGCCAACAAACATTTTGGCTATCTCGGATTTTCAATTTTTGAAAATTTCGATCACGTGACCTTTTGACCTATTTTTTGAAGAGTGACCTTGATATTTTCCCCACTGAAAGTTGCAATTTTGTCTGATGACGATTAAAGCCTTATCAATTGTCATTCATATGCGAAAATAAAAAAGTGGATATCGCCCTGCGTTGACCTCAGGTCAGGTCATTTTTATGACCTGTCCATTATTACGAGCGGGAGCGACAGCGAGATCTCGAGAATAAAGCAAGATATCGACAAGCGGTAAACGGTGCAGGGTACACACGGATAAGGTCTATAATTTTTACGGAGGTCATTTTCAGGTCAGGTCAAAGATGACGTCACAGGAGCAAAAAGGAAGTCAAAATTGCGGCACTACATATATATGAAATTTTTCTCGAATAACTTTCAAGGTATCCCAGCTGGGAACAAACTAATATCACCATCGTGATCCTCTCGTCGATCCGCATCGAAACATATGTATGTTGACCTCGAAAGGTCGAAATGTCAAAAGTTGACCTTAGGTCACGTGACCTAAGATCAACTTTTGACCTTTCGACCTTTCGAGGTCAACATACATATCTTTCGATGCGGATCGACGAGAGGATCACGATGGTGCTATTAGTTTGTTCCTAGCTGGGATACCTTGAAAGTTATTCGAGAAAAACTTCATATGTATGTAGTGCCGCAATTTCGACTTCCTTTTTGCTCCTGTGACGTCATCTTTGACCTGACCTGAAAATGACCTCAGGAAAAATTATAGACCTTATCCGTGTGTACCCTGCACCGTTTGCCGTTTGTCGCTATCTTGCTTTATTCTTGAGATCTCGCTGTCGCTCCCGCTCGTCACGTGACCTAAGGTCAACTTTTGACCTTTCGACCTTTCGAGGTCAACATACATATGTTTCGATGCGGATCGACGAGAGGATCACGATGGTGCTATTGGTTTGTTCCTAGCTGGGATACCTTGAAAGTTATTCGAGAAAAACTTCATATATATGTAGTGCCGCAATTTTGACTTCCTTTTTGCTCCTGTGACGTCATCTTTGACCTGACCTGAAAATGACCTCAGTAAAAATTATAGACCTTATCCGTTTGTACCCTGCAACGTTTACCGCTTGTCGCTATCTTGCTTTATTCTCGAGATCTGACTGTCGCTCCCGCTCGTAATAATGGGCAGGTCATAAAAATGACCTGACCTGAGGTCAACGCCGGGCGATATCCACTTTTTTATTTTCGCATATGAACGACAATCGATAAGGCTTTAATCGTCATCAGACAAAATTGCAACTTTCAGTGGGGAAAATATCAAGGTCACTTTTTGAAAAATAGGTCAAAAGGTCATTTTCAAAAAATGAAAATCCGAGATAGCCAAAATGTTTGTTGTCTGATTGTGAGTTGAACCATATAAAGTTTTTATCGTAGAAAACCAATAGTTTTTTAGTTATAGGCCGCCAAACATAGGGCTGCAGCGCGACCTCCAGGAATTGCCCGAGGCTATATCTCGGAAACCGTTGTTCGGAGAAAAAAATCCTTGCCACAGCTGGCTTCCCCGCCCATCCCAGCCAGCCTTCCCAAATGGGGCCCATATGGGCTGAAAGTGGGGCATCTGGGCTTAAGTGGGCATGGGCTACATGTGGGCTATTATCTGGGCTAAATCTGGGTCCCATATGGGCTGAGCCCCAGCAAACATGCCCACATGGGTACCATCACAGTGTATATAAATACAGTGGCGGCAAATGCGCTTGGTCACGTGACCAAATCTGCACGTGCGGTTGTGGCGAGGGCACTTCCCGAAACTCTGGTGCCAACGGCCTCGCGGCGCCCATAGAGAATACATGGGACCTTTTCTTTTCAGACCTATCGTGTCTAGACCAAGCCATTTAGTGCAAGGATACGACTGGTTTGAGATTCAGTAGTCTTTTGGCTACAAGTTGGCATAAGAAACGTATTTTTATCGGCAAAATTCGCAAAGTACCAGACCAGGTGGTTTTCCGATACCCTGCACGCCTCCTTACCCCCGGCGGCCGACCGGAGGAGTCAGTAGCGCTCCACTCACGACTTTTGGCGATAGCTCAAAACACCTTACAGCTAGAGGGCTGCTATTTGGCACACCTTATCTTTGCTTCCATACGCATCTTTGGAAACCAATTGCATTTCCGTCTCAGGTCAGGTCACTGACTTATGACGTCACACGTGAACCTCTGCAATAGTCCCAAAATACCGAAACTTCGCAATGCCCTCGGTGCCAGAGGAGCTGTTACAGCCAGATGATACTTACAGGACCTAGTATCCTCTAGGAGTCTCAAAACTTGTATATCTCGGATTTCTCCTAGAGGTCACATGAGGTAAGGCCGATCGCGCGACGTCACCATTACAAGTCAATGGGGAAAATATGGAATGGAAACTGTAATTTTGACGCCGAGAATGATCTAAACCTAGCTCAAGCACATGGAATCGCAATTTCATGCAATTCTTGCAATGTCCAATGCTTCACTTTTGCATCTTTAACCTAGCGTGACGTCATTCATGACGTCACAAATGTCACAAGTTTTTTCGTCAATAACTCCTGATAAAATTGAGCTGGCAAGTCGGAAAAGTCGCCAATAGACTCGGGAAGACCTACCGAATCGAATGATATGCGATATAGCCTCCTCCGACCAAGTTCGTGACCTGAGTGCCTCTGACCTGGCTTTGATCCGATGTGAACACCTTATGTTGACCCCACCCGAACAAAAGTGTGCCATTTTGACGCACCGGAGCATGACAAACATGATGGTACTAAAATCGCGACTCTGCGCCGTTTTTTTCCTCGGGGCACTTGACCTGACCCTCAGAGGCCATCAGTTGACCTGAGACTTTTAACCCTCGCACGACCAGGCCATTTCTCATAACACGAACGACCAGGGGGGGGGTTGTTACGACCCCCCCCCCTGGCGTTTCGAAACGGAAGGTCGTAGAGCTTAGCGGAAAAAACCAACGGATTGCTCTCAACGAGATCTCGCGATTGGTGGTATGTTTTTTGGTCCTAGGTCAACATTTGACCTACTTTTGACCGGTCAAAGGTCAAATTTTCGGAAAAATAGACTTTTTTCAACTTTCGGCGGCGATTGCGGCAAAACGGTGGGAGATATCGACTTGAAATCTTCACTATCGTGTTCCTTGATCAATTCTCTATCGTTTGGTATGTATTTCGTTTCCCTAGCTCTAAAAATGGCGCGTTGGGAGCGCCGGAAGTCGGCAAGGTCACAGTCGGCGGCAGAAATTCGAAAAATCAAAATTTAAATTTTTGAAATCTGATTGTATTTTTGGATTTGGGAGGTCCATTTGCTCCCTATAGAAGCTAATATTGCTGCATATTCCCATTGAGGTGACAAGAATTAGCAAAATAGTGGTTCGGGCGCTTTTCAAAAATGGTACCGGACGCTGTTCCTCTTGTGACGTCATAGCTCCGTGACCTGACCTGACCCGGTCAAATTTCTTATACCATATGACAGCCAATACTTGCCCCAACATGCATGGGAAGTTTCATCACGATCCATCAACCGATGTCCGTACCACCGGCAGGAAACCTCGGGCGTTGGCACTCAGTTTGTGAAAATCCGG